GAAAAAGTGGAAAATCACGCTAAGCTGCAACAACAACTTTCACCCGAAACAAAAATGGTTGTTGTTATCGTTGCTGCTGTTGTTGTTGCAGCGACGCATTTCTAGAAGCCAGCCAAAGAAAGTGAGCAGCTATAAACGCTACCAAAGAAGAAGCTGAACAAGAAGAAAGTCAAGAATTAGTGTGTTCATATACAAAAGTAAGTGAGTGTATGGTTGTGTGTGACTGAGCGCAGACTTGTCTGTCTCTGTGTGTGAGAGAGAGCGAAACTTGTTTGTTGAGCTGCGCTTATGGACAGCATATTAGAAAGTTGTTTGACTCTCCCAGAATGCAGGCCTCAATGGGCAAAAACAGTTACGACAAGGCATGAAACGAGCTTAAATTGTGTGTTAGTTGGTCTGTCTGCGCATTCATTCTCAACACAAAAGCTCTTGCGAGCGCTGAGAGAGCGCAGCGACACTCTCACTCTCTCTCACTCTCGCCACTCTCTTTGCTGTTGTTGCCTAATAAGAAAAAGTGTATTCTTAGCATTTTATTTTTTTGTTTGTTCATTTTGCTTCGAACACAAATTCCTGGCACTTTTATTTCAATTTGTTGCTGTTTTTCTCTTTGGCTAATAAAAATACTTAAATACACATAAATACATTCATAGATGTTTAACTATGTATGTATATATGCATAGCTTGTGTGCATACACACTACTGACATAGTTTGCGTGCTACCTAAATATGTTTATTGTTTTTTTTTTTAATTTTATAAGTTTAAATTTATATTTAGCTGCACAGTGGCGCAAAACATTGAAACATTTACATTGTGACTGTGTTTGTGTATTTGTGACGTTTGTATATTATCAGCAAATCAGCTTGCTGTCAATTTCACTTTTATATTATTTCTATGTGCGCAGCTGCGCATTGCTTTTAAAACTAAATTTAATTAAATTGTATTTGAAATAGTTTTTACTTGCTGCCGCTCTCGTATACAGCCGGTTGTGTCATTAACCTATAAAAACGTGTTCGCTAAATGCACACACACGCACTCACATATATACATATACTCATACACAAAACTAATACTAGTTACGCCGTCGTTGGCGTCGACGTCGACTTCGCTGGCGCTGTCCGCTTCAACGGCTAATGCACTTGACGCTGCTATAGGCAAGAGCAGAAGAAATATACCTCCCGGCAGCAGCAACGGCAACGCTGTCGACGCTGACGCTTTCTTTGCGTTTCTCATTTGATTGCAAATTAATGCCAAGTGTACGAAAATAGACGAAAATACAATAACAACAAACATACTAAGAATGCACTAACACAGAAGAACATTCATATATATATACACCCGTATGCATACTTTCATACATGCATTTGGGCGTGTATTCGTATGTGCTGTGCTTGCAAAGCTTTCACAGGCTGACGTCACATGCATGTGAATAACTTTCAAAATGGTTGCCGGTTGCAGTTTTCGGCTGTCTTATTAATTTCTCAATGCTGAGGATGAGGTTAGACTATACATAAATACGAGCATACGCACATACAAGTACATACGTTAATCTGAATATAATGTTAAATATCTGTTATGGTAATTTAAGCACAGTAGCCGATGATCATTTGACTGCAAAGCAGCTGATAATCTTTTCATGTGCAAATCGCAAATGTTTGCATTGCTCTGCCATGACAAATCGTTAACAAAAAAAACGCAAAAAAAAAAACAAACTAAAAGTCAAAGTCAGACGCAACTGTCATGCACTGGCCGCAGCAACGCCGTCGACGCGCAAGCTTATCAATGTCAAAGCGTTCGAAAGAGACGGCGTAATTACAAGTAGCCAGCAACAACAACTGCAGCCGCTGCAACAACAACAAATATCTTGTTTATACAAAGTAGACAAAATGTAGTTTGCTAGTAGCATGAATACAAATTTGTGCACGCCATGTAAAAACAACAATAACAACAACCGCAGCAGCACAAACAACAGCAACAATAACAGCGCTGTTAATGATATGAGCGCGCACGCGAGTCCATTTCAATTTGCGGGCGTCCGTGGGAGAGTGGGAGAGCGCGAGAGGGCGATTTACGCTCATTAGCTGTCACTGGTGCTGCTGTTGTTGGGTCTCAATTCTTGGCGCTTGCATACGAAGTGCGCTTCAGCCGACTGCTCGATCGCGACGTCGATAACTGATGATGGCGGCGCACAAAATCATTGACCTCATTTTTTTCGTCATGCGAATACACACATACGTGTGTGACAAATGAACTGCAATGGTGTGTGTCCGTGTGAGTGCAAGACTAAAAACCGTCAACTGGCAATGTTGACTTCGACTGCGACAGCAGCGTCAATTGCGACTGTTATCGTTCTGTGTTTTTATCGCTTTTATTTGCTGTAGCCATATAAATCGTTTGCTTTATTTATTTTTTTAATTTGAACAAATTTTGTTTTTGCTTTTATTTGTTGCTGTCCTTGACGCACAGGACCGTCACAGCAGCAGCAGAAACAGAAATTTTGGTTCTGTCAAGGCAACGAATAAGAGCAACCCTAAAAATTATATCACCCTAATAGCAGAGCAAAGCAAAGCCCATGCCCAAAATCTAACAAAAGAAAAAGCACGCACACACGTCGTAGCAGCAGAAGCTGTTGTCGTTACCGGTAGTTGCTTAGCTGCGCTGTCGACTTCGTCGTTGCCGTTGCCATTGCCGTTAGCATCGGATTGCTTGGCTTTGCTTGTCTGCAGGGGTAAGGTCATGTACTTGAGTTTACAACGCTTGCAATGGCACGTAAAGCTGTGTAGAGAGTAGAGGGAGAGAGAGAGAGAAAAAGAGAGAGAGAGTGAAATGTTTGCAGTCATATGCACATTCGACAGCTTTGTCCTTGCGGTTTTTAGTGAGCAACGGCAATTTTATTTTTTTTGGGCCTGCACCAGTGACCCACATTTACTCAAAAATTACGAGTTGAGTTCAAAGCCACTTAAAACGACGATGAAGAAGAAGACGAAGAAGAACCATAACAATGCACAGTACAGCTGCTTGAGCTGCACTTTACTGTAAAATGACGGAATGACAATGGAAGAGAGCGAGAAGAGAAGCTAATGAACTTTAAATTTGGTTAATTTGTAGAAGTAGAGTGTAGAATGCATTTTTGAGTAATATTTCAGTTAATTCTATCGTACTATATTAAGTTTTACTGCTTTTGATTTATTTGGAGCTAATTGCTACATTTTTTATTATTTTTATTTATAATAATACAGGATGAGCTATCGTACCTATTGATTTTAAGTTTATTTATGAAGTTTATGAAGTATATTCGACTCACTTAGAACATTAGAGAATATCAAATATAACAGCAAATATATGGATGATCTGAACTGATTGGTTATTCATAACAAAAATACTTTATGAATACTTTCCAATATGAATACAGCCAATATTTAAATAATAAATAATATAATTTTTTTGCTTTAACTGGTTCCCAGTTTAGTCATTAATGGAATATTACTGAAGTATCTTTAAGATTTTTTTTTTGAATTTCATACTATTTAGTTTTGAGTCGGTCAGGGACATTTAAATTTGATATAAGCTTTTTTAAGTTTAATCCTTCCTTGACCTGACCCTGACATGGAGCCCAATTAGCGCCTGGCTGGGTGTTTGCTGACCGAAACACGGACAAGACCCAAAGTATGTCATATCCGGAAGCTGGAGCAGCAACAGTTGCCCCTGACCTCTGACCCCTACAAATTAGGTCACACTGCAGCATGCAAATTGGCCTGCACAAGCTGTGTGACCCGCTTTGTCAGTGCAGCGCAGCAGTCGCCCAATGCAATTGAGAACGAGGACGTGGACGAGGTCGTCTGCCCGGCAGCCGAAGGTCACTCGAAGCTCTGACGTCATCAACAATTGGAGTTCGATCGAAGCCCCGAACCCAGGAGCCAAAGAGCGAGCGAGAGAGGGAGAGAAAAAGAGAGCGACAGAGACTAAGAGAGTGTGTCTGCTTGCTAAATATAGAACAGCTTGAGGTAGGTTCCAGTTACAGCAACCGCCCTTATGGCTGCATATTGTATACGCGTGTGTGTGTGTGTGTGTGTGTGTGTGTGGTGCAGCCTGCCATGACGCTGGCTGATAAATTGCGAGGCAAACGCACAAACGAAACAACAACAACAGCTGCAGCAGCAGCAGCAGCAGCAATAAATGCAACAGCTCCCCCTCACTCGCACGCCACTGCCCGCCCGGGAAGTCTTTAAGTGCTGTTGATGTTATTTCCTTCCCTCGTTCCCTATTCCCTATGGACTTCGCACGCACACACATATCTCTATAAGCAAAAGCAACGAATGCATCTCGTAAAAAGCGCATCATAAAATATATATATATTTATTCACGCACATATATATATATATATATATATATATATACAAATGCAATTAAATTTAATTAGTGCAGTATGCAGCAAGTTGACCAAGAAGGGAAGGTTGCGAAAGGGGCGTGTCTTGTGCATCTATTAAGAGCAAAGTTTAATAAACAATCATCATTAAACGACTGAACGACTGCACCTGAAATAAATACAAGTTTCTCATTATTTGCACAATGAATGGCTGCATTTTCCAACACTGGATGCAATGAATTTAAATGAAATGAAAATAGCAGATTATTTTGAATACGTAATTTTGCAACACTGAAAATTAAAAATGATAACTTGATATATAGTAAATATATATATAAATAGTAAATTGTTAAATAGAGCTTGTCTTAAGCTAATGCCTTTTGCAACACTGACTTCGTTTGCAGACAATTAATTGATTTAGCAACACTAAAAAATAAGTTGAGATTTGAAATTTTTATATTGAATTGAAATTTGCCTAAATATAATGCTTAGTCTAGCTTAGATAGATGTATTAATACTATATTTGATACATGAAACTTTCGACCAACCCTCGCTTGCACTTTCTGGGTTCAATCTCCCCAGAATGGATCTGAGACGGTTTTGCTTTATAGTAAATCGTATTTTTAGCCCACTAACCTGATGAAATGGAATTTGCTGAATCACTGCGCGGCGTATGTTGCATGGCCATGCCCATGGGCACGCCCATGACGCCATTGCCCGGATTCGAGCCGAGTCCATTCGAGTTGCCGTTCGTGTGGTGCAGCGCACTGAGGCCCAGGCCAATGGAGGACATAGCACCGACCGTTGCTGCGACGCCGCCGCCGTTGAGGCCATTCTGCTGCATATGCAAGTTCGTTGTGGGCGTGGTCGAGTTAATCAAACTATGCCCATTCTGCTGCAGCTGCTGCATGCCACTGACCAGGCTGCCCATGTGCCCACCATTCGCCAGCGAGCCCAGGTTCGTGGCACCCGGCACATAGCCGTTGCTATTGTTGTTGTTGTTATTGTTGTTGTTATTGTTGTTGTTGTTGTTGCTGCTGCTGTTGTTGTTGTTGTTGATGGGTATTATGGTGGTTTGGGCGGGCAACGTGCTGGAACAGCCGTGCATGGCCAGCGTAATGACGCTCTGCTGCTGCGCAGTGGCATGCCCCAAACTGTTGCCATAATGCTGACCCGCATCGTTGCCACACAGCCAGCTGCCCTGGTCGCCGTAGTCGGGCGAATCCAACGGTGACGGCGACATGCTAAGCCCCGACGACAGGACGAGGCCATTGCTAGAGGAGGTCACCTCCGACGAGGACTCCTCCTGGATGCGCAAGAAGCCGCCATTGTTCGACCAGCGTCGTTTCATCATTTGATAGCCGATGGTCGCCGTTGTGCTGCCTTTTTGTCCGAAACTTGCGATGCCAAAGAAAAATCCTTTCCTAGCGGTCCAATGGGTTCCGCTGCTAGTTTAATCTAAATCTGTGTGACTTTTCCTTTTCCAGTTTCCTTCTCCTTTTCCCGCTCAGTTTTCAATTGTTTTTGGTATTTTTTCTAGTATTTTTTACGCACCTGCTTGCGCACGAAATACATTTTCATGGCGTGCCATGCGCCACGACTTCAACAAACAAAAGCTGCAAAAAGTTTAATTTGAAATTTAACTCAAAACTCGATTCAACAATTTTGATTTTGCCGCCTGTTTGCGCGTCGAAACTCGTTGAAAAAAGCCTTTCAGAATAGACGAAAAAACACTTCTCCCGGTTGACTCAATACAGGTTCAATGTACCCGGCGCAACGCTCATGAAATTTTCATTTTCATTTTAATTTCATGGCAAATTGTCGCCTTTTGAAATTAAATTAAAGAAAAGCAACGAAGAGACGAAAAAATACTTAATTATTTAGCTTTAGCCTAGGGAAAAATACATTCTAGCTCTAGCTAGTAGGAGTTGCTATATCTATCTCTATCTCTCTCTCTCCCTCCCTCTCCATCTCTTTCTCTCGCTCTCTCTCTTTTCTTTTAACTGAACCAGTTTCTGTGAGCAAGATTGTTAAGTTTTGATAAGCAAATTTATTGTCATATGCTTGGACCATAATTTTATTAGCAAATTTCAATTAATCAAAGTCAGAGAAGCTAAGTTTTGCCATAGCTTTCAGCTAAGGTCTCTTCTCGGAGCGAAGCTGTTAATGGTGCTCACAGCTTAACCAAAGTGTCAGATTTTAATTGATGATTATCAGCAGCCAGTTCTTATTTATCATTCATCATTCGAATCATTCAAATCTAAATTCTGTACCTTTTACGCATCATTTAGCTAATCAATTTCATTTCCCTGTTTGCGCAGCGCATATAGAAATTGTTATTGGAATTCGGTTTCGAGGCGAGCCCCACTTGGAGCTATACCTATGTATACCTATGTATGCCATTGGTTCACTTGTTGCACTTATCTAAATATTTTCATAATCATTTGTTTACACATTCTGTCTGTTCAAGTTCCAACTCAAGCACAACCTTTACAACAATAACAACTATACGATATGTGCTACAAGCCTTGGAAATATTTATTATTAACATTGGGCACTCGGAAGTGGCGACGGCGGATAAGGTGAGATATTTCTTCAATTTATACTTTCCGTATAGCACTCAGAACTCACAGAAGCAAAAGAATTATACTGGGACTCAAGCTGTCAGTTACATAAGCCTTCGACAATTTAGACTTACGTAAGCGCCCTTCTAAGCAATTCTCAAAAGAATTTAGATTCAGATCGAAAAGAACTCTTTATAAAATTCATATTAGCATTGTCGAAACAACTTGAAATTGCTATATATCTGTGATTAAAACAATGCGCCCTTCTATGCAATTCTCATAGGTATAAGATAAATGCGCTGAAATATTTAATGAGCTTAGTAGTTAGCTCTTGTTCTAGTACTAGGCGAATGGGGCGACTTCTTTCATTTACAAAGCAGTTTTCGTCACTTAAGCTAAAAGTCGCCTTTCTATGTGGTTCTCAAAACGACAAATAACCAATAAACACAGCCAACTTAACTTTAGGTGTTACCTTGCTGGCTCTATATCAAATTATGTTGTTCAAGGCAATCCCGCATGTTATCAACAGATCGCAAACAAGTTCTTAAATCCATGTTTGACTGAAAAGTTATAGATTCGATTCGAGGCATACTTTTGTATGTTATTCAAACATGGGACTGACAAGTGAATTTATATAAGCCACACACACGCCCATTAATATGTATGTATATAGGCCTGTTCGTGATCCAATCAGCAATCCACTTAGGCAGTGTCACACATTTTGTCTTAATGAGATTTCGATGTGCATAGACATTCATAATTACAGCGCTCTGGAATTGTAATGCGCCTAATTAATAGCATTTAATTAAAGCGAAAGTTGATGCGAGCGAGCGACTAGAGAGTAAGTAAAACAGTCAATAGACGTGGCCAACAAATTGTGGGTAATACGCGGTCATGGTCTACGGCAGCGCCGATGAACCAGATGAACCAAGCTGCAGTTGAATCATTTTCAAAGTGAACAACAGGTGATTCATCAGATTCCTCATTTGACAGTTGAACTCAAAGGCAACGCTGAAAATACATTTGCCAAGCCGAAGCGAATCGCTGCATAAGAAGACCGGCAAGCGAAACAACAACAACAACAACAACAACAACAGCAACAATAAGCAAAGTGTCGCTGGCAGCAACTTTGAAGTTGCCGCAGTGCATATACCCTGTAAATGAGGGCAGATAATGCACAGTGAGTGAACGACACTTGAGAGAATCAAATTTATATATATATTTAAATATATTTATATATATATATATATATATAATTATATATATATATATATATATATATATATATATATAATTATATATATATATATATATATATATATATATATTTATATAAATATATTTGCAAATTTAAATTTAATTATATAATTATTCCAATAATATTGATATATATATTATATAAAACAAACATCGATTAACTCACATCGAAGCTCATCGATCTTTCACATATACATGCTTAACTTGGTAAACAAATCGATCTACCCGCTGCAGTTGCACAAAGGCGAGTGAGTAGTTTTTTGTTGAAAGCGCCAAAACCGGTTTTTGGCCACTCACTGGCCAGAGAGAATGTGAGAGGAGAGCGACGAAAAAGTCATATTGCCATCTCGCTTGCGCAGCAGCTTAGAACAAAATCAAACACGGAGAGTCTAAGCTTTTGGGCAAGGCAGAAGAGCAGCGAGAAGGGCCACGAGAGAGAGAGAGAAAGGCGGGGAGTGACAGGGGCGGGCGTGTATTGGCCGTCACATTGCTGAGATTTTGGCCCGCATTAAGAAACGTAAAAAACCTGTCGCCGTCGACGTATCTCGTTCAATATGAGCGAGCAACAAAAACAACAACAAAAAACAGGTTGTTCTGTCCGCTGTTATTGTTGTTGTTGTTGTTGTTGCTTTTGCTTTGTTGTCGACAAAAAAAATCTTGCCCAGCAGCAGCAGCAGAAGACGCATCCAGTTTACAGACAGCTACAGCTATATCTACAGATTTATGTATATATATATATCTGTCAGTGTGTGTGTGTGTAGTGTATGTCTGATATATAAACGACATTTAAGGCATTTTTATAGCTTTGCGTGCTTCGTTGTTGTTGCAGCTTTTTGCGCATTTTACTTTTAGCTTTTTTCAAGCTGAAGCACACAGCAAAAAGTCAGCCAAAAGGCAAGTGCAAAAAGGCAAAACGCGCGCAGTCGCAGACGTCTTTGCCTTTCTATCCATATCTAGCTTACTCACTCTTGCACACACACTCTCCCTCTCTCTCTCTCTTACTTACTCTCGCTCATTTAGCTTTGCCGCGTAATTGCCGTAAAGTTCTTCTTCTTCTTCTTTTGTCTTCTTCTTAATTTGTCAGCGCTTCTGTTGCGACGCATTGTGAAATTTGTTTTTTTTTTTTTTTTGTTGTTGTTTAAGTCAATTTGTAACGCGTGTAATGTTCGAGGGCTGCAAGCTCAATTCAAGAATGAGAATCACATCAACTAAGTAAAATAGCTGCCGACTTGAAGTAGCGCTTCAATCGATCAGCTCGCATTGCGTCATGAGAAGCGTATAGAAAGGCCATGTAAGGCCAAGAGAGATTGAGAGTTAGCTTTCTTTAGAGATAACTTCTTTATTTCGATATTATATAATAAATATATATACATATATATACACGTTATATTGTTATCTTTCTTTAGAAATCGTCACTTTCCAAAAAAAGTCTATTTGGTCTATTTGGTTGATCGGCAGTATATATATATATATATATATATATATATATTTTTTTTTTTAATTACTGATACATATATATAAAAATGAAAACTTTGAAGAAAGTTACAATAGAACTTAAGCATCTGGCATAGATAAACTCTGTTGGATTGCTGTCTAGAAATACCTAATGCATACAGATCTTTATAATTATTAAAATTTAAAACATGTTCATTACTCTTAGTATTATATTATGTTTATTTATTCGCCTATAAACCAGTTGAATTTCACACAGAGGGTTCGATTGATTCATTAAGCAACTGATTAAAGTTTGTGCTCACAAAAATTCCATTAAATTTACGTCTGAGAATTGTAACGCAGATTTAAGCAATAAATTGAATTGATTTTGAAAGCTTCGCATCTATTTTTGTTAATTGCTGTAAAGATCTTAAAATCGTAATTTCTTATTATGCAATTACGTTTGCTTTCAGTTTATTGGTGTTACTTAAGCCGTTGACTCATAATACACTTAGTATAGCCGTAATACGCCTTTAATAAAGCAACAGTCACCTGTATTTGACATCCTTTTTCAATAATTGATCCAAGTGCAGAAGTATTCTTCGTATTTGGAAGTATGTCAAGTATGTCTGGCACGCGATTGTCGTTTGCCATTTGGCCTGAGAGCTTACAAATGCAATAGACTTTATGAAATGTACAAGAACAACGATTGGGAGTGGGCTTTGGATATGTCTCGAAGGATTCGAGTGGAGAGAGGGCGAGAGAGAGGGGCTAGAGCAAGTGAGATATACTGGCAAAGTAAAACAATTAAATTTCCGTTGACCGGCTAAACAAAGAGCCTTAATAGGCTAACAATATGCGTAGGCACACACACACACATATATATATATATATATATATTTATATATATATTTATATACATATGGATCCTTTTAATTTCCTGCTGTTATTTTTATGCGCGTAGCGCAAACGCCGCGTGATTTCCATTCGCTTACATGTTGACAGGGCTTGTTGTGAGTGTGCGTGTGTGTGTGTGTGCGTGTGTGAGTGAGTGTTGTGCACATGTGGCATATTCCCATAAACAACACACAACTGCGCCATGTGTCACTCTGCCTGCGCCTCAAGCAAAGTAATCTAATAATAATGTGTGGCCCACCCAAAAGGCAGAGTAAAAGAGATGCAGCGAGAGAGTGAAAGAGAGAGAGATATGTGCGCCGTCTTTTTCTAAGAAGCAGCCCCCGAAACTTGCTCCAGTCCAGGCTCAAGTGGAAGCTACTGTTGCTGCAGCGTGTGGAGCAGAGATCATCGCATGAGCAAAAAGCCTTTTATGCTATGCCCTAATGACTGTCATTGAGATTGAC